ACTGTTTTCAGATGCCAGACTGAGATGCCATCAAGGAGATCTATCTGCTAGATTCTGCCTAATCATTGTTCTGTTACTTTGAAAAATAGTACATGTGAGGCCGGTTCAAGACTAGTCTGAACTAACTTGATAATAACCTAATAAATGTCAGATTGAAGAAGAGAAAGACATCTTATGCAGGCAGGGAATTTGGTCTCTGACATTACTAAGCATCTACTAGGAAGGGTTTTATGTTAGTTATATATACATTTACATTTATATACATATGAACATTGAACTAATGAACATATATAAATATATGCTCAATGTACTTAATTTCACAGCAGTCTTACTAGAAAACTATTATAATCAATTTTAATATCGAAAAACCTATTAAGAAGATGACAAAATAAGAAAAGTATTGGATTTCTCAGACTCGTTTATATCAGAATTCAAAGTTTGACTTATGCAAGAGCAAAATGAATGTTCTTTGCCCTGGTTTAAGCTATCTGAGCTTAAGACGTTTTAGGAGGGAAAAAAAACTGTCTTGCATCACACAGGGAAGCAAATGGCCCACAGCACTTGCAGGGCACCAGGGACCCCTCCCCGTGTTGTCAGTTTAGTGTGAGTCTGATCACTCTCAGGAGGACCCAGTATAACTCACAGCTGTCCCCATTCGGGACTGGCTGGAGTCACTCTCTTTACGAACACAAAGCAACCCCAAAAAGCTCTTCTCTTTTTCCTGTTGTTTCCTGCAGCTCATTGGGGGAAAAATATGTCAAATTGCATTAAGACTTTGAACACTGTAAAAGTAGACATATTCAAATGCTACTCCAAAATGCCTCTCTGAGAATCTAGTATCTTCCTTAAATATATTGACTGTTAAATAGGATGGGGACTGTGGACACATAATTAAATAACTCTGACAGAGTCCTGGACTGTTAAAAGAAAACAGCCTGATTATTCGTGACTGATGTTACAGTTGTATGTGTGACTCTGTCTCGTTATCTGTCTCGAGGAAATACTGTTTGTTTATATTTTACTCTTAACAGTCATCAACTAGACAGTTTCTTTCCATATGTGTTGTTATGTTTTATCCTTAGCATTTTCTGTGGCTAAATAAATACCTGCGTTGTAACCAGTTAGTGTTTGCTGATCCCACAAGGTAATTGGTTGCATCGCTGCTTAGTATTTTGTTCCCAAAGCTAATTAGACACTTGATATACCAAAATCCCTAAAGAAGACAGTTTAAAAAAATCACTAGTGCCAAATGTAAATATTAGCAAGAATAGCTAACTATAAATAAACAAGCACTTATTCCCCAGGTGTTGGCTTTCAAAGTAAAAGTGTGGAAATGACATAATAAATCTTTGGAAAAATAAACTGGGTGTAGTAGCTCACAGCCATAAATGGAATATATGGATTAGGAATTGAAAGCCAGTCTTTGCTACACAACAAGTCTGAAGCCAGCCTGGGCTACAAGGAGGCACTGTCAAAAAACACATACACACTTCACGTTTGTCAAATATGGACCCTAATAAAGAAGGAAACTGAGCCCAGTGTAGTGGTGCTGGCATTCTGGAGGTGGATCCAGGAGGAACATGAGTTTGAGGGGAGCTTGAACTATGAGGAGCCCTTGAGTTTAAAAAGAGAGGTGGGGTGAGAACAGGAGAGAGGAAGGGAGACAAAGAGAGAGAATTTTATGCCAGATTAGCTAAGTGAGAGAAAGAATTCACTGCTAGATCCAAAGAGCAAAGCAGAAGAGGGGATGCACCCAAGACTCTGCTCACATCAGCAAATACCTGAGGAGAGAACAGCCGTGCTCTCTAAGAGAACTCAAAGACTATAGGACAGCGTCTCCAGGAAGAGACTCTATTGCTGTCCCTTTCTCTCAGCTTCTCCAGAGAAGGGAGTGCATCTTGATCAGCCACATTTCTTTCTTAAGGTCTCTCACAGCTATGAACAAAGAGCAAGGTTTTGGCAATAGGCTGGATAAATCAAATAGGCTCTATGGGAGGCAGGCATTCTCTGCTACTGGAAGTGGTTGGGGTTGGAGCAAATCCGAGATCAGACACAGTTGGAGGAGACCCACCTGAGACATCTGTGAATCTTCAGCATAATATCTAATCATGTCTTACCACATCCCCCCAAAATATAGCTCCAGTCTGCCCTTTTCCTACCATCTGCTGCTATTTCCTAGCCCAAGCCACCATCTTGAAGTGAACTGGATTATGACTGATCTTCTAAAAGGTGTCTTCATTCTACTTTGCAGTCAATGTAGCGGTTTAATAGTGTAATTAGCTCAGTTATCCCTCCTGCTTAAAACATCTTAGTGGAAAGAAATAACAGGAACAAAAAGACAGGAAAGGAGGGCTAGGGAACTGACTCAATGGATAAAGCACTTACTGGGCAATTGTGAGCCCTGGAGTTCAGATCCCCAGCATATATACAAATCTTAGGCAGGAGTGGCACCCTGCCTAGAATCCTAGCACTCCAGCACAGAAATAGGGGACCCAAAGGGCAAGTTGTTTAGCTAGACCAAATTGGTGAGCTCTGGGTTCAAGAGAAAATATACTTAAAAATATAAGGTGAAGAGTTATCATGAACCCCACTGATGCCAGGTTGTGGTGGCACATACCTTTAATCACAGCACTGGAAGGCAGAGGCAGGCAGATCTCTGTGAGCTCAAGGCCAGCCTGGTCTACAGAGTGAGTTTCAGGACAGCCAGGGCTGTTACACAAAGAAACCCTGTTTCAAAAAACACAACAACAACAAAACCACTGATAACCTGCAACATTCACAAGCACCCACATCTATACACATTTACACACACACACACACACACACACACACAGAAAAGAAGATACAAGTTATATTTTGTTTACAAATGATATCATTGCCTTTCTGGGGAACAATCCAAGAAATAATGCAAAATATATTACAGACAAAAAGAGAATTGATTTGGTAGGTGTGATCCAAAATCAACTCACAGAAAAGTTAATGTTCAACCCTCTAGCAAAGAAGTAGTGATGATGAATATAGAAATGGAGAAACAGAAATGTTAAAAATAGCAAGAAATGGATAATTGTGTGAGAATACATTATTCCAAAATGCACAAGAATTATTTGAAAATATCAAGGGATACAAAAGATTGAAACAGGACTGGGGAGATGGCTCAGAGGTTAAGAGCATTACCTGCTCTTCCAAAGGTCCCGAGTTCAATTCCCAGCAACCACATGGTGACTCACAACCATCTGTAATGGGGTCTGGTGCCCTCTTCTGGCCTGTGGTCATACACACAACAGAATATTGTATACATAATAAATAAGTATTAAAAATAAATAAATTCTTTAAAAAAAAAAAGATTGAAACAGCCGAGCAGTGGTGCACTTGAGAGGCAAAGACAGGTAGATCCCTGAGTTTGAGGCCAGCCTGGTCTACAGAGTGAGTTCCAGGACAGCCAAGGATACATGAAGAAAGCCTGTCTCGATGAACAAAAACAAATCCATGGAAGCAGTTGGGAAGATGGACCCTGCTCGTGGGTAGGAGGTCTCAGCAAAGAGACCCAAGAAATAGAATCTATAGGTTAGATCTCTACTGATAACAATTCTAACTGAATCTTAGTTTAGAATTAGATAAACTGAGTCTGAAATTCAGTAAGCAAAAGTGAGGATAGAAATAACTGTTATTAACAATGTTCAGTAACTGTAGTATCCAGTGCTGGAAAGATGGCTCGAAGGTTAAGATCACTAGTTGCTCTTGTGTAAGACCCGGCTTTAGTTCCCAGCACTCATGTTAGGTGACTTACAACTGTCTCAAAGTCCAGTTCCAGTTCAGAGTTCATCTTCTAGACTTTGAAAGTACCTACATGAACAAAGTGCTTATGCATTCATATACTTATATGCACACACACAGACATACATGAAATAAAAAAAATCATATAAAAAAAGTAACAGTTCCATCTAAATCAGATTTATCTGAAGAAAAGTTTGGTTTGAAGACATCCTTATACTGCACCAAAAATAAATTCCAGATAAGTAAAAGATCTTTTCATTTTGTTTGTTTGTTTGTTTTTTTAATGTTAGCAAAAAGAATCAGGCCAGATATAGAATGAAGGTCTGGAATCCTAGATTGAGGACCAGATCATCAGTTGGAGACCAAAGTGAGTCATGTAGTGAGACCTTGTCTAGAAAAACAGGGGCTGGACATCTGTTTCAGGGGCAGAGCACTTGCCTAGCAAACTTTGGGTTTGATCTCCAGCACTTCAGAAATCAACAAAAGAGGTAGGAGTTTTATCATTCAGAATGAAAAAGAGGAAGAAATAGGTTGTTATTTGTAGATGATATACTTTAAGACAGAAAATACAAAAGAATCCACAGTTAGTGGACTTAAAAGTAAGCTTAAGACATTTTGATAGTGGACTGGGCATGGTGGCTCACACCTTGGGGTCCTAACGTTTGGAAGGCGGAGGCAGGTGGTTCTCTGTGAGTTCAAGGTCAGTTCCAGTGCAGGCAGTCTCTCCCCCTTGAGGAGGAGGGGCACTAAGGTTAAGTATCTCTGAGGTAGAATGCCTAGCATGTGTGAGGGTCCTAGGTTAAGTCCCTAGTTCCAGGTCTGGCAACCTCTCCCTCTTGAGGAGGAGGGAGCGCTAAGGTTAGGTATCTCTGGGGTAGAGGACTTGCCTAGCATGTGTGAGGGTCCTAGGTTAAGTCCGTAGGAGCACAAATTCTCTAATAAATGAGGTTAGTAGGTAAAAGAATGAATATAAAAATCATTTGTACTTCTATATACCAACAACAGCTGAAGGTCCTACCCTGTGTGGCAATACATGACTTAAAAAAAATTCTTTATTGATTCTTTGGAAATTTCACATCATGCACCCCAGTCCCACTCACCTCCCAGTCCCTCCACATCTGCCCCTCACCCCTGCAGTATGCCCTCCTCAAATTAAAAACAAAATAAAGCAAGTAAGCAAACAAACAAACACAAAAAGCCACCTCCATCCTCCATTTTTCCAATACCTTGTCATTCATCCTAGTGGCATCGGGTGCTGCGATATGTCATGCAGTATACTCCTTTTGTCCAATCAGCCCTGTCCACAAAATGTTCATTGCAATGAGTCATTGGTCTGGTTTCAAGGCCTCTGGTTTCTGGTACACCATCATCACTGGGTCCTCATCAAAACTCCTTTTTGAATATCCTGTTGTTGCCAACATCTACAATGAAATAACTTGTAGCATATTTTATAACAGAATTCTATACAATGAAGAAATAAGCAGTATATGCTAACAACATCAGATTCAAAGTAATGTATGTATTACTTCACTGTTACAGTATACAGATAAGCAAAAACTAGTGTGTGTGTGTGTGTGTGTGTGTGTGTGTGTGTGTATGTGTGTGTGTGTGTGTAGTCCTGGCTGGCCTTGAATTCTCTACATAGACCAGGCTGTCCTCAAATTCACAGTGATCTACCTGCTTCTGTCTCCCAAGCACTTGATCACTTTCATATTGTAAAACAATGAAGAAAAACAAGAAGCCATTATAAAATTCGGTATGGTAGCTACCATTTGTAAAAGACTTATTTTTGAAGTTGTGTGTTGATGTGAATGTCTGTGTGGCTATGCAAATGTGAGTGGAAGAGCTTTTGGAGGCTGGAAGGAAAAATCGGATTCCCTGGAGCTGGAGTTACTGGCAGTTGTGAGCTGCCTAGTGTGGGTGCTGGGAACTAAGCTTGGGTCCTGGAAGAACAGTACTCAAGAACACTCTTATACCTCTCAAGCACTTCCCCAGCCCACCATTTTTGTTTTCCATGTGGTTCTGGGGTAGAACCCAGGGAGTTCTATAAGCTAGCCATGAGTCACTCTCCCACCCTGAGAGGCGAAGGCGGCAGGGTGATGAGGTGGTAGTAATGAGCACTTTTACTGGGCGATCATGCAGTGGATTATATATTCCTGGGTTTGGGACTTTTCTGTGCATGTATTCTACTTTTCAATCTGATGAAAGGTTAAAGTAGGGCATGGAAGGCACAAGATGACTGAGGCAGGAGAATATAAGTTTGAGGCAACTCAGAGTTACATAGAGTTAATGGCTAACCTGGGCTACAGGGAGACACTGTGAAAGTATGGAAGAAAGAAAGGAAGCACGGGAAGAGGGGAGAAAAGAAAGAAGGGAGAGAGAAGGGGAGGGAGGAAGGGAGGGAGGAAAAGAGGAATAGAAAAGAAAAGACAGAAGGGAGTAAGGAAAGGAGGAAGGAAAAGAAGGATACTGAGAAGAGTATCTCCTATCTAGAGAAGACAAAGGAGGTCAGGGTCAACACTGATGCAAATGCAGTGCGTGTTGGCACTGCCTCACTTGTCAACCTTCCTGTAAGTCTGAACATTTGTTTATTTTTTCAATTAACAAATTATAGACAAGGTCTTACTATGTAGAGCTGGCCACCCTAGAACTTGCCACGTAGACCCAGCTGGCCTTGAATTTATGGAAGTCTGTCTGCCTCTGCCTCCAGAATGAACTGTTGAGCTGACTTGTCCTGAAGCTACTTCCCCTTTAAAATCCTGTTCCTTCGAGCTAATCTGTTGACACTGCTGTGCACACTGTGGGTCTCCAGTGACATCACATGAGTGATTCAAACCCCAGCCCTCAGTTAGTGACAGCGTGCTCTGCTCACCTCTCTTCCCTGGCCCTTTTTTCATCATGCAGGTCATGTGCTTAGGGGCTGGGAATTTCGTAGCTCAGTAGTGGAGGGAGAGCTTACCCAACAGGCACAAGGTTGTGAGTTTGATTTCCGTCACTGCCTCAGGGCATGTGAACTGTCCACTAACCAGAAAAATTCTTTTCTCTGGTTTTTCTTGACTCCTCCACGTTGGAGTGGTGGCTTGAGGCTCTGTTCCTGAGCAACTCAAAATTTTACATAAGTGTATTTTTTTTTTCAGTTGGGCAGTGGTGGCACACTCTTTTAATTCCAGCACTTGGGAGGCAGAGGCAAGCAGATCTCTGTGAGTTCAAGTCCATCCTGCTCTACAGAGTGAGTTCCATTTAGGACAGCCAGGGCTACACAGAGAAACCCTGTCTCAGAAAAAAAAAAAAGAAGTATTTTTTTCAGTAAGGCTTTATCTGACTACCCTTTTCCCCCTAAATTTTAAATAAATTGTGTGAATGAGTGTGTGTGTGTGTGTGTGTGTGATATGTTCATGTTTTCTATGGATGACTGAAGGCCAGAAACATCATATCTACTAGAGCTGGAGTTAAAAGCACCTGTGAGCCACATGGCATGGGTGCTGGGAACTATACGTGGGTCTCTGTAAGAACAGCTTGTACTCTTAACTGCTGAGCCATCTGTTTAGCCCCTGACCACTACCCTAAGCTTCTTAATTAGTTTTCATTGTCTTTAACATTGTGATGGTTATTCTTGGTCATCAACTTGACTACATCTGGAATTAACTAAAAACCAAGCAGCTGGACATACCTGTGAGGAATTTTTCTTCATTGAGTCATTGGAAGTGGAGAGACCATACTAAATTCAGATCTTTTGAGTAAGAAGATCCACCTTGAATCTGGACCATACCTTCTGGTGTTAGCTTATAAAGGACACGGAAGAAGGAAGTTTTTGCTTTTTGCCTGCTTGCTTCTGATGACAAATTAATTCCTTCACTGTTATTAGAGCCTGCTTCTTCAGAAAGACAAGCTGACCAGTTGAGACATCCAGCCTTGAGGACTGAACAACTACTGGATATTGGTCTTGTTGTTGATTGACAGCCATCATTGGACTAGCTAGACCACAGAGCTAGATACCACTCTAATAAACCATCTGTGTGTATATGTGTGTGTATGTGTGTGCACGCATGCGTGTGTACATGTGTGTGTGTGTGTATCCTTTCAGTTCTGTTTCTCTAGAGAACCCTAATACAAACATTAATTTAAAATAGTCTCTATTTACATTTTGGTTTGTTGCCCATTACTCTCTCTAAAATATAACATTTTATTTATTTTATAACAGGGTTTCCCTACATAGCTCTGGCTGGCTTGAAATGTGCTATGTAGACCAAGCTAATCTAGAAAATACAGAGATCTGCTTGCATCTGCCTCCCAAGTACTGGGATCAAAGATGTTCACCACCACACCCATCCCTAGAATATAACTTTCAGAAGGAAGGTATTTGTATGTCATCGCCATATGGCACGTGGTTAGAATGGCACCTGCACACATGAAGCCTTCAATCCACGTTTGCTGTGTGACTAATGACTTATAGAGTAAAATCAACAGTCCATGCTTAGGTTGTCTTCTTTTAGCCTCTCTGTTCTCATCTCATACTCCTTTTAATTCTCTGGTCATAGCAAACTCTTCTCCAACTCACAGGCTTAGAAGCTTTGGCAAGGGCTTCAGTGTAGAGGCTCTGGCTTAGGGATTTGTAGTTGCTTTTTTCTCTACTAAGTTTTTTAAGGACTCTTTCTATAAACGACTCATTCTTGGCCAGGCCTGATGGTGCACAACTTTAATCTCAGCACTCAGGAGGCAGAGGATCTCTGAGTTTGAGGTGAGTCTGATCTACAGCCAAGACTACATGAAGAAGCCTTGTCTGAAAAACCACTACCACAGAGTTCAAGGCCAGCCTAGTCTACAAGAGTTAGTTCCAGGACAAGCCCCAAAGCTACAGAGAAACCCTGTCTTGAAAAACAAAACAAAAAAATAATAAATATTATATTATAAATATATAACTTATTATTATTATTAATGACTCATTCTTATCCTTGGGGTTCAATCTAAATGTTTCCGCGGAAAGATCTACTCTGACCTTGCTGCTTATATATTCACCTCTCTGGCTCGCTTTAGTTATTTACCCTTTCGGCTTTAGGGCTCTTCCTTTCTTTCTTTCTTTCTTTCTTTCTTTCTTTCTTTCTTTCTTTCTTTCTTTCTTTCTTTCTTTTGATATAGGATATCATCTGTAGCCCAGGCAGGTTTTGAACTTATTTTCCTGCTCCTCAGCCTCCTGAGCACTAGAATTATACAGGTGTGCCACCATACCCAGCCTAATTACGCTTTTATATATTTTCTTCTTTATTTCTGCCATTTCTCAAGAACTTTGTGTTTGCTATGTGTATTTATCTGTCTACTATCATAAAATGTAAGCTTCATGAGGGAAGGTTTATTGTGTCTTTCTTGCTTCCAAACCCTTAGGATCTAGCACAGTCCTGGCACATACTGGTTGCATAATAAATGTCTATTGGGTGGATGGTGTGGAACAGATAGCTGATTTGGTAAAGTACTTGCCTTGTAACTCTAAGGAGCTGAGTCTGATCCCCAGAACCCACATATAAAGAAAGCCAGCCATGGTGATATGTGCTTATAATCCCAGCACTAGGAAGACAGGCAGAACTGTGGGGCTCACTGGTTACTAGTTGGACAGTGAGAACTTTGTCTCCAAAAGGTGGACCTGAGGTTGCTTTCTGCCTCCATGTGCACTATACATACATGCACGTGTTCTCTCTCTCTCTCTCTCTCTCTCTCTCTCTCTCTCTCTCTCTCACACACACACACACACACACACACACACACACATACACGCATAGAGTGTCTGTTGGATGGGTGAAAAGATAAAGGAATAACAACTAAAGAAAACAACTTTGTCAGTCTTTAAGGCAAGACATGGATTACAGATGAAGGGCCAGAGTCACTTCTACCAGCAAGAGGACAATGGACATTTGTTTTTCTTGATACATTAATATCCAAGAATGAAATCTCAATATTCCTTACAAGATCTTTTCCCTTTGAGTAGTCTGGCAATATCCTGAGGGAAAAGAGCACATATAGCATAGTCCATATGCACCAAATAGGCTCCCTTTGAGGAACTGGTGATGAGTGGTTTGAAATGTGTGGTTATGGACAATTAAAAGTGACTGGCCTTTGAGGCCAACTAAGTAGTGCTTGAAATAATGATAGCTGTATGGGAAGAGGAGTGTGAAGGTGGCTTCTGAGTACACTATGTGATTCTCCGACTTGTCTATTATTATTATTACCATTACTCTAGGTATGAAAGCAATCTTTAGCTAGACAGTGGTGGCACACACCTTTAATCCCAGCACTCTGGAGGCAGAGGCAGGTGGATCTCTGAGTCTGAGACCAGTCTAGTCTACAGAGAAAGTTCCAGGACAGCCGGGGCTACACAGAGAAACCCTATCTTGGAAAATTTAAAGGAGTGGGGGA